CATTTGTCTTGTGAGTTTTCCCATTCCCTTTTTTTTCTCAACCTTTCTAAATCACTTCATCTTATAGATGCATTTTCTGAATATGGCCTACGGTTGAACATTGCTATTTGATCTGTTTTCGGTATTTTTTCTTTAATAGGTGAATGCATCCCACTTTCATGTCCTGAAAATGACAGATATACTTTTGTCTGTCATTGTATTTCATTTCATGCTTTCTATTTTTTTTTTGCTGAGGAATATTTGCCCTGAGCTAATATCTGTTGCCAGTCTCCCCCTATTTTTTGTATGTGGGTCACTGCCACAGCATGGCTGCTGATGAGTGGTATAGGTCCACTCCCGGGAATTGAACCCGGGCCACCAAAGCGGAGTCCGGTGAACTTAGCCACTAGGCCACAGGCCCAGCCCTCATACTTTCTATTTTAAATGAATCCTTTCTTAAACTTTTCAGTATAAAGTTTATGAGTTTTTTTGGTATGTTCGTATTCTTTTAATACAATATAAATTGTTTTTAGTCCTAATGGGCACTATTATAACTGTATAATATATACATACGTTTCTTGAGTTATCACATTCAAATAACTGTTGATTTCCAGTATAAAAGATCAAAATTTATGTACCCTTACTTCTTTCCTCCCTCCCCTCCACTACCTGTTTTGTTATTATTAGTCATAGTTCTCCTAAGAGTTACCTCTTATACCTTTAAAAATGTCGAAATATCATACCTCTTGTTACTTAGCAGCTTTAAATGGTATTGACCAATATATAAGATCATCTACCTAAAACTACCTCCTATATTTCTCCTGCCGCCTCCTTTTTTTAATACTTTTTCTACATTGTTACACATTATAATATTTACCTTCTGTTCTATAGCCATATTTTCTAGTTGTTCATCCTTTGTTCTACATTTAAATAGGATTCCAGCTTCTTTATTTGTCTCCTAGAGTTTGATCTTTGAACATTATTTTCAAGAAGAGTTCAAGGAAACTATGTTCCTTAAATCCTGGCATCTTTGCAGACATTTTTCTATTGCCCTTATATTTGAATGACAGTTGGCTACATACACAATTTTTATTTAATGTTTTTTCCCTTACGGGTTTGTACACAGACCTGACATTGAATATTGCTCCAGAGAAGTCTGAGGGAAGCCTAATTTCTTTCCCCCCTTAGATGACCTGATTGGGAGGAGGAGGTGTTGTCTAGATGAATATAGGATGCTTTATTAAGATATATCTTGTTCATTGCTCTATGTCCATTTTTTCTGGTCATAGTATGCCCTTACTGCTTACAGATTTCAAGCCTTCCCTTATTTCAGGCAAGTTTTCTTCTTTTGTGTGTTTGGCTTTTGTTGTTGTTCTGTTTCATTTGCCTGTTTTTTTCCCCTAAGGATATAGTTTATGTTGGCTCCCTTTGTTTTCCATACCTGCCATTTTCTCTGGATTTTCAACTTTGTTCTTTTCTCTTTCTTTTTGCTTGATTTTTCTCAAGCTTGTCTTCCGTGTCCCATGCTGTATTGTTTCATCAGAGCTTTATTTGGCACTGTTCTAATCACTGGCAGTAAAGCAGAGAACAAAACAGACAGAAATTCCTGACTTCATGGAACTTATTCTAATGAGAGAATTAGACAGTAAATAAATACAGTAGGTCAGATAAGTCCTAGAAAAAAATAAGGGAAAGAGAAATAAGGCTGTGAAAGGAGGCAGGACATAAATTGCATTTTTAGAAAGGTGATCAGAGAACGCCTATTGCAAATGTGACGTTTGAGCAAAGACCTGGAGAAGTTAAGGCAACGAGTCATGCAGATATTTGGGGACAAGCATTCTAGGCAGAGGGAAAAGTGCACGTCTTTGAGGTGGGGGTATGCGTGGTATTTTCAAGGAATTTGAGGTCAGTGTGGCTGGAACAGAGTCAGCAAATGGGATGGTAGGAGGTTAAATCTGAGAGGTAAGGGGGCCACATGTGTAGGCCTTTATAGGCCATGGTAAGTAAGGAGGAATGACTTTTTATAAGAAGATCATTCTGGGCACTGTGTTGAGTATACTGTGTTGCAAACAGTATACTGTGTGTACTGTAGGGGGAATAGAGGGTAAGGGCAGAAGCAAGTATACCAGTTAGGATGCTATTGCAGTAATGGAGTCAAGAGAGAATATTTTGTTTGGACTACAGTGGTAGCGGGAAGAGGTGAAAAGAGATCAGATTCTAAATTTATTTGACAGTATAGCTGACAGGATTTGCTGATGGATTGGATGTGGAGAGAGGAGATCAGGATGAATCTAAGCCTTTTAGCCTGAACAACTGGAAGAGGAATTGCCACTTACTGATATGGGAGAAACTGCATGAGAAGGTTTGAAGGGCTTCAAGAGATGGGTTTTGGTCATATTAGGGTTGAGGGGGCTGTTAGACAGTAGGCAGTTTTACATATAAGTCTGGAATTCATGAGAAAGAACCATATATCTGGGGGTGATCAGTATATGTATCCTATTGAAAGCCCTGAGACTGAGTGAGATCACTAGGGGAGGGAGTGTGGATAGAGAAGCATTTCAAAAATAGTACCCTAATGCACTCCAACATGTAGAGGTTGGGGAGATAAGGAATTAGCAGAGGAGATTGAAAAGAGTGGCCAGTGAAGTATGAAGAAAATCAGGATAGTCTGGTGTTTGGGAAGTCAAATGAAGCAAGTATTTGCATAAGTAGGGAATGATTCACTGTGTGAAAGGCTGGTAATAGGTTGAATAAGAGAATTGACATTAGATTAGGAACATGAGGTCATTGGTGTCCTTGACAAACAGTTTTTGTGAAGAGGGTAGGATAAGCATAATTGCTCAGCGTTGAAGGGAAAATGGGAAGACAAGAATGTGAACAGCAAGAATAGGTAATTCTAGGAATTAAGCTTTGAAGGGGAAAACAGAAATGAAATAGTAGCTGGAGGGGGAAATAGGGTGAAGAAGGGGGTTTTGTTTGTTTTCTAAAACGGTAGGAAGTATAGCATATTTGTGTGCTGATTGGAACAATCCAAGAGAAAAGGGGAAATTAATATTGTGCCAGAATTGCATAGTATGGTCTGTTCTCCTCTTTGTTGATTCTGTTATATTCATTATTTCCTTGGTTTTATTTTTTTCTCTCTTCCATTTCTTTGTTGAGGTAAAATAGTTGATATGTCATCTTTTTCATTGTCATATTTTTTTCCATGAGCCCTTTTATCTCTTCTTTGAATTCATTTCAGAAATGCTATATTCTCATTGATTTCATTGAGAATTATTCATAATTTTCATCTGCTTCATGTTGTAATTTTCATGCTGTGTTTTTTATATAACTTTTGATTATAATGTTTCTTTTTTTTCCCCCTTGCAACATCTTTACATAAGACCTACATTGGTTCCTTTTTGATTATTGGTCATCTTTGAATTGTAGGTATTCATCGTAGATTAGCTATTTGCCCAACAATAAAGTTGTGGGAAAGGGGCCAGAGGAGTGGTTGGGAAAAAGGCAGACAGCTTAAATTTTCCCAGTTGTCTTGGAAGACTTGCTCACCAACATTTTTCTCTGGTAGTATGACTCTCCTTAGCAAGTAGGAAGCAGAGCCCCTTATGTCACAGGCTTTTTTGTTTAGACTGAAAAACAGTGCATGCATGTTAGAGTCACCTGGGGGATCTCCTCCACCATACTATATATATAGCTTGCTTCTTGCAAAAATGTGAGGTGTGGGTGTTGTGGGTGTTCACATTTTCCTTAATATGTCCTGCGTCCTCCCACGGCCCACTCATACTTCCTGACTTTATCATACTATGCAAGGGCTTGTTAGTTTTATCTTAGGTTTGTCACCTTTTTTGGAGAACTCTGAACTGTACCCACTCAGCCTTATACCTGCAGAGTCAGGCATCTTCTGTGCCTAGCTTGGTCTGGTTCTCCTTTTTTTTTTTTCAGTTTTATTGTGAATATAATACACATATAGAAAAATGTATAAAATGTAAAGAAACATTCATGTAACTATCACCCAGGACAAGAAATTGAACATTTGCCAGGATCCCAAAAGCCCTCTTGATGCCCCTTCTCAATCACAACTCTCTTCTCCATCCTGACCTATTTGGTAATAAATTCCTTACTTTTCATTTTCTCATATTCAGGGTTATGGATGTTTCCTGGTTTCATCAAATATGGAGTTATCTGTTTCTTATTTTCAGAAGGGGTAGAGGGACAGCAATGTGTTTATTTCTCCATTTGCTTGTTTGTTTTTTAAATGTTCAGATGTGAATTCGTATCTCTGCTTTACATAGTTGGTGTTTTTTAGCTGGGAAAGATTTGCCCGAACATCTGTTGCCAATCTTCTCTTTTTTTTTTCCCCCTCCCCAAAGCCCCAGTACCTAGTTGTATATTCTACTTGTAAGTCCTTCTTCTATGTGAGCTGCCACAGCATGGCTGCTGACAGACGAGTGGTGTGGTTCTGTTACCAGCAAACAAACCCTGTCAGGGCTCGCTCCCTATTTCTCCATTTTTGACTGGAAGTAAAGAACTATCATTTTAAGGAATTAGAAAACCAAATATATAGTTGAATCCATTAAATGTTTTATATTAATCTGATTTTTAAATATTTTACAACTATATAGCATTATATTTTTACTGAACTTTGTTTCATTTTATTTTTTACAATCATTTTATGAGATTGCCAGTTCAGGTTCATTGGGGGGGGGGGGGTGTGTTTGTGTGTGTTTTAACAGATGAAGTCAGAGAACATAGAGCTAATGCCCTAACAGCAGAGAACACACACTGACTGGCAGTTCAGTGTTTGATAACCTTGTGCAAGCTATTAGCATGACCTGATTTACGGTCTCATCTAAGTAAACATGAAATTATGAGATAGGCATTTTAAGCCTGCATTTCTCTTACAACAATATGGCACCAGATTTTTCAGTATAAAATAAGAATACTAATAATGTACACATTAACCACTGTTTGGGTATCCAAGAATTTAAATATATATTCAAGTTAATTAAAATCTTTTTTAGGAATATGAAGCCATCTATCTAGCAAAATTAACAATACAGATGATGTCACCACTCCAGATAGAAAGATCATTATCTGTTCATTCTGGTACCACAGGTAAGGGTTTTTTCCTTTTGGAGAAAGTTATGGAGAAAAATGATGGTATGAAAGGTAGAGAAGATGAAGCATCTTTTGCTCGTTACAGGTTACACTGAACAATTTAAATTGTTTAGAAAACTTTGAGTAGACTATTGAATTAAAAAGATAATTTCAAAATTTAATTTTATAATGAATATATGTGTGTTATATTGAGCTTCTGTGTGTACACCACTGTACCTAGTTAATTAGAATATGCTGGTTGGAAGATCACATTTCTAGTTGCTTTAGTTTTAAGTCTTTAAGTGTTGCTAAGATTAAAATAATAAGAGGGGTCTGGAGAAGCAGCCCTAAATACACTTAAGTGATCTTATTAAAAATAAAAGGTGGTTAATAGATGAAAGCATGTTTCAAATTAAGTAAGGTGACGTCACTAATATTAGCTACTTCAGTTTTTCTCTTGCCATCAGTATTTCAATCCTTTCTCACTTCTGTCCCTATTTCCGAGTGCTCCCTCCCGCATTTTCAAAGTAATGATCCAAGCATGTTCTCAAATCTTTTAACTTTACCCTCCTTCTCCAAGACCTTGCTATGCTTGTTTGTCTCTTTTTTTTTTTTTTTTTTTTGGTGAGGAAGACTGGCCCTGGGCTAACATCCGTGCCCATCTTCCTCCACTTTATATGGGACGCCGCCACAGCATGGCTTGCCAAGCGGTGCGTTGGTGCGCGCCCGGGATCTGAACCAGCGAACCCCGGGCTGCCACAGCGGAGCACGTGCACTTAACGGCTTGTGCCACCAGGCCAGCCCCTGTCTCCTTTTTTTTTACTCTACGAGACTACTCATGGAATTTTTTAATTTACGATTTTTCTCTCTCATGGTTCATTTCAGTCTTATTTGAACCAACAACCTTATAAGATAGAAGAACAGGTTACATACCCAGTTAGTGACGGACCTGGAAATTGAGCACGGGTGAACTGATCCACAAGTCCAGCACACTTTTCACTATATTTTACTGCCTTTAGTGATAATGCTGTATATCCATCCCTGAGGCTCAACCTCCTAGTTGTCATTGACTCTTATTTTCCTTGCCACTTCTATCTAGTCAGTTTTCCAAATCCAGTAGGGTCTGTTTCCTCAGTACCTTTAAAATTCCCTCCCTCTTTTATAGTACCCAAAGGTACTATAGTACTTGGTACTAAGGTATCAATCTAGTTCAGTTCCATGTTGGCCTCCTATCCAAACTTGTTATTTGATCTTTTCTGTACATTGTGGCCAGACTTATTTTCATGAAAGATAGTCATCATAATGAAATTTTTCCTATACAAAAGCCTTCATTGGCTTAATTCCTACAGAAGAAAACATGTAGAGTGTCATAGGTGGTAATTAAAGGCCCTTCTGATCTTTATTTGTATCTCTCACCGTTCCTCTTTATATATGTACTCCAGAAAACTGAACTACTGATGGTTTCCTGTGTGTCTTCTTTTCTCCACCTAGAGTGCATCACATACAGTCTGTTCTTAAAAATTGAGTTCAGTTGTCATCTCCTCACGAAAACATGATGATAAACTTAACTCTTCCTCCAATCCCCAGTCATTTGGCACTCCCAAAGAGCATTATCTGTACCTCCTCTTAGTGGAACGCAAGTGCACTTCATATGAAACTTGGTTACAGCAGCTGGATTTAGCCTTATGGCTAGCGTATTTTCTTCTTTATTCCATTGTCTTGATATTATATTTCTATCCTTATTTTATTAATCTTATAGTGAAATGTTAGTTTCACCCTCTGAATTAACATTATTAGTGAGATTTAGCACAACCTTTAGGGCATAAATTTAAGGCCTTGCCATTGTTAGGCAGATAACACGGCAGACCCTTTACCAGTTTAATTGTTTCTTCAAGTTTTCTTCCATTGAGACTGAAATTTCTTGATTATAACTATTAGGCATATAGGGATAGCTTTGATTCCATGTGGGAAATTTCTCTACTAGCAGACTCTGATGTGAAGAGTAGATAAACAAAATCTCTTCTTGGGCCGGCCCGGTGGCTTAGCAGTTAAGTGCACGCACTCCGCTGCTGGCGGCCCGGGTTCGGATCCGGGGCACATACCGACGCACTGCTTCTCCGGCCATGCTGAGGCCGAGTCCCACATACAGCAACTAGAAGGATATGCAACTATGACATAGAACTATTTACTGGGGCTTTGGGGAAGGAAAAAAGGAGGAGGATTGGTAGTAGATGTTAGCTCAGAGCCGGTCTTCCTCAGCAAAAAGAGGAGGATTAGCACAGATGTTAGCTCAGGGCTGATCTCCCTCACAAAAAAAAAAAGAAAGAAAGAAAATCTCTTCTTTATCTGCTACAGCTTTCTCCCAACTCTAGACTTATTGGTAATAAAAACCACAGCTTCAGTGGAAAAATATTTTCGGCAGCATCTCTGAAAGCAAAAAGAGAATTATATCTACAAAATAAAATTGTACAAATATAAAATTAATTTCTTAAATTTTATGTTCCAAGTCGTGTTTATGGTGCCTAAAAAACATAAACTTGGTAACCAAACATTTATGTACCATTATCTCTGTAGAAATTCTATTTTCAAACTATTTAAAAAATTAATCTTTATTATGTGCAATACCTAAGAAATACTTAATTCTTAAGGGGGAAAATGTATCCTGTCTTGAAACTATAAAGTTATTTGGGTAATTTATAATGGAAGAATTTTACTAAAGTTTGCTCAAAATTCAGTCATGGAGTTTTTCATACTGCACATACATGGTAACACTTGATGACAAATGAAACTTTTACTAGCTGTAACATTATAACAAATGAATTGATTTAATTTCCTATTATATGTTATGTTCACGCAATAACTTTTAGGCAGCTTGAAGAGAACACATGAAGAAGATGATGATTTTGGAAACATGCAGGCGGCAGCTGCACAGAATGGCTGACTAAAAAGCAACATCACAGAGGATGTGAATTTCTGTTTGGGAAGGAGAAAATACTAGAGACAATGATAATTTTAAATGGTAAAAACACAATTATTTTCTTTTCAATCATATGTTGCTTCCAGTTGTATTTCTTTGCAACTTGTTGAGCAACATTTTAAGATGATGTTGGACTTCTGCAATAGATGGCAATGATGGTTTTAAAAACCCCTTTTCTTTCTTTCTTTTTTTTTTTTTTTACACTTTACATGTTTATTATAAACCAAGAATTTTGGACTTGCAAAGAGGTATTATTGCAATAATGCACTTTTCATACTTGAAATTTATTTGTATGATATAAAGTTATTACTTTAAGCAAAATGCAAGTTAGGGGGGATTTGTTTATAAAATCTGGGTAATTTATAACAAAAGAACTTCCTGAAGTTTGCTAAAAATTCATTGTGTTCTATATATTACATTTTAAAAATAATTTTATAGTTCAGTTTTATGATGGAGCCTCTTACAGAAACATTAACAAATGCAGGAATCTGCCACATTTCTTTTGTAGTATAATTCAGTAGCTTACCTTTTTTTAAAACTTCTTGATCCCTTATTAATAATCTTTAAATCATGACATTAGCCACCTATCCTTACTTTAACATGATCCAAGTATTGCTTCCTTTCCTATTATTTTCCTAATTTGTTTATTCTGTAGAAAAAAAAGTTTAATGAACAAAGGAAGATGTTTCATTTTATAATATCAGATGCTCTCATCTAAACAAGATTTTTAGATTTTCAGGTGTCTTTCTTTTTGCATTTCTTAAAAGCCAAATGTTGTTGGTTCTTTTTAGAGTTGCATAGCCTGTTTTTTTTCTTTGTTCAAAATGGTTCTAAATAGAACATAATAAACCCATGTAGCACTATTTTTTTTTTAAATGATGCCCAAAAAAGTGCCTTGCATCACTTAAAAAAAAAAAAAATTCTCATACTAAATTAGTATGTAGAACAGTGAAAAGTTTTTAACTTTTTTTTTTTAAGCCATAAATTAGTTTAAACTGAAAGTCTGAGGCTTGAAGAAACCTCAGTAAATTTGGAATATGGAACGTTTACTCCTTCATTTTATGTTGTCTTAATGATTCTGTGAGGTTGTTCTGGCTCAGACAGAAGCTTTCCTGTAAAGATGCTTTCATTGGGGAAAGTGATTTGTGGGAGACCTTAGTGTGTTTTAAATTAGTGTTTTAATCAGTTCTTCACATTGAGTTAATCCAGATTTCCCCCATAATTTGCATTAGCAGAGTCACTTTATGGATCCTTGGTTCTCCATATTTTTATTTACACATATAAAAATTGCTCTAAGAAAAACGTTTTTGCTATTTTAAGTGATATGAGGGAGGAGAGGAGTGTTTTAAACTTTTTATAGTTGATTTAGGGTAGCACAAACAAAACTCCTTTGTATCTCACTTTTCTCAGTCCTCTCTTGAGGTGCTTTACTGATGGGAATGATTTCCATACGTTCCCTTGGTACCAAGAGGTACTATGCAAGGTAACCTATTACACCAAGTTACTTGCTTTGCTTTCCTCCCTAAAATGTAATAATACAGTAGAAGCTTTTTTATCCAGCATAGTGGTTGAGTGGAAATGAATTAAAATTTCTTTGTTAATTCCTGTTGACCCAGGTGGTATTCCTCTTCTGATTTCCCTTCCCTTCCCCTATTTTACCACCCTGAAAAGAGCATATTGTTAATCCCATTGTGGTCCCGTATTCTGTTGTGTGTTAGGTCATTTGGTGTGGTGGTCTAGTAGAGTCAAGATTTGCATTGAGTGTTCAGAAATTCCAGTTGGTAAAGTGCCAGATAACACAGCTTTCCTGTATATAGAATCACTATTGGATAGGTCAGCAAAGCTCTGTCTTGCAGTCTAGTAATCTAAATCTATGGTCCTTCATTCAGCGGAAACTCTTCTTAAAAGCCTCTTTGTCATAGTATGCTTAGGTTGTAAAAATGAGGCAGTTACGTTTTTTAAATTAGTTTCTTAAATATATATATCCTCTCTAGTAGTCTGGCCAAAAATACAGATTTGGTTATTAATTTATAGCTGGTAATTTTCCACTTTTTCTAACCACTGTAATTTTTATGTTGTCACTAAAGTGCCTGCCCAGCACTGTATATTAAATGCTGTCTCACAAACACTAGAAAAAGGGACTGTCATCTTGGTACAATATTAACGTAGACAAAACATAAGGTTTATTCTTTCTTTCAGGTAAGAACATTGCAAGTTTTATCTTGGATCCATTCTTCTACCTAATGTTCAACTAGTTCTTCTGATAGCTCTTCTTATTCTTTCTTCTATTTGGTTCCATTTCTCTAATTCCTTTATTTCCACTGATGTTTTAAGATTTTTTATTTATTCAGTTTTTTCCCCTCAAAGCCCCAGTAGATAGTTGTATGTCATAAGTTCACATCCTTCTAGTTGCTGTACGTGGGACTCGGCCTCGCGTTGGACGGAGAAGTGGTGCCTCGGGGCGCTCCCGGGATCCGAACCCGGGCCGCCAGCATCAGAGCGCGCGCACTTAACCGCTAAGCCACGGAGCCGGCCCGTCCACTGATGTTTTGATAACTGCAATACATTTAACCAATCATGATTTATTTTCTAGAATATTTGAGTAATGTATGAGTGACATAACACCCATTAAATATGTAACCTGGGCACAGAATTTAAAGTGAAATTGCCTCAAAACAGGAAAACTGATTTACTGTCCATTTTGAAAGTATGAAACTTAAATATTGAAAATATTCAAACTGAAATGGCAGTTTTCTTACTTTCTCATTTCAGTTAATGGGTTCCTGTTAATTTCTTATCTGACGTTTAGATAGCAGTTACCTTTGTTTATTTCTATCTCCAGGTGGAAATGTTAAACTTTGACAGCTTTTGCCACCAGCTCTCAACCACTTCACTTTTAGAGCAGAATATTTGTTTAGGGGCGATTTTGTGTTTTAATCTGAGTTTAGTCGTAATGTCAGAAAATGTTAAGCATGTCCTTTTTAAGAAAATATAAAGTTTCTAATTATCTTATTACTATGGTAATTCAAGTGAATTAGAAGTATTTAACTGCAATCTTGAATTATAAAGTTGGGATGCATGTATATATCAGGATCTCAACTTGATGTAAAGTAAATGAGCAGTTACTTGGCGGGTTTTTTTTCTTTTTATAAATAACTGGTTTAATCCATAATTCCATAACAAACTTGGCTTCACTTCAGTATTTACTTATCTTTGTCCATTGAACAATGCTCCAATAAGGAAATGAAAGGAAATAGCTGAGAATTACTAAAAGATTTTATTTTATTTTTTTAATTGATTAGAAAAATAAGTTTCTAGGGTCTCTGAATGCTGGATTTTTTTTGTCTTACCCATCCATGGCAGCTAAAAAAAAAAAAAAAAAAAAGTTTCTAGGGTCTCTGAATGCTGGATTTTTTTTGTCTTACCCATCCATGGCAGCTAAAAAAAAAAAAAAAAAAATCACTCAAAATATTCAGGTTTACATGTTACTCTCTCATAGGGAGTTGCCATACCTCACAGTTCAAAGTGTATTTTATAGATCAGTAACATTATACTGACACGTAATTGCAGTTTACTATGCAGCAAAAATGATTCAAGAAAAATAACCTACAGTGTCTACTTACCTTTGTATAGGTAATTGTTTTAGTTACTCTGCTTTTAACATTTGTACTTGAATAAAATGCTTATGTATGTATAGCAATGTCACAGTGCAAGATGCTGCTAGCTCAGGCACAAAGTATTAAAATTATTTTGTGAAGTTTGGTGGTTGTATTAAAACTGTTGTGCCATTATACCTCAAAAAGATTGAAAAGCTCATTTATATTGCTTATGCCTCAGGACTTCTTTAGATTGTTGTCTTCTAGGTAAAACTAACTTAGTTTTACTCCCACAGATTAAGAAGGATGAATGAACACTGGATACTTGAGAAGCACTTAAAGAGTATCTTCCAAACCATTGTCATCGCACACTTAAAAATTATGGTCAGTAGTTCATACAAGGCCCAAATTTCAGCTCAAGTATATCTTTAATAAGGATTGGTTGAGCAAGTTTGGAGTTGGAAGTGAGGGAATTTGTGTCTGAAGGAAAGGTAGGTCATCCACAGAACAGCTTCTAGCCCATTAAAAAAAATACTTCTTGCTTTTACAGTACTCTCTTCCCTGATAGCCTATCTACATACTATTCTTCATCAAAGCTAAGATGCCATCACTACACTATTTTTACATACCACTAAAAGGCAAAATATTGCTGAATAAACTCTGACAAGCCATTGATCATAAATGCAAGCAGATTTTTAAAATGCTAGTGTAAAAAAAATGTGCATCTTAAGAGTCAGTGAAATACAAATATGCAAAATAAAAATCACAACTACCACTTCACTGTACCTTTACAAAAGCAAACAAGGTGCAAAAATGTGAATATAGTTCATATATCATGAAATGTCTTATGCAGCTTTTTTTTGTACTCAGGTTTACTCACAATATGGCTTAGAAAACCATAAACATACCCTGGTTGACTAAAGCTAAATACAGATCATCATTTTCCTGAATCACACAATTTTTACTTACTATACCTTACCTATTACTGTATTTCCTATGGGGGGATTTAAGATAAGACCTTAAGAACACTATTTAAAGAGATTTTATTGCAATATCAACCTTGTAGATAGTTTTACTTCAGGTTATTCAGTGGTAAGATATGTAATAAAGCATTTATTTATTTTGCCTTTTATTAGGCTTATTTTTTAACATGGGTTTTTAATTACCAGAATGTACCTAAATAAAGCTACTGTCATGCCAAGGTTGTAGGATTCCTGAAAAGGCAAAACTAGCTTTGTTACTTTCACTAGATGAGTTCATCTGCATAGGTCATCAGCAGATAAGTAGTGCACCCTCTACTGGTGAAGGGTTTCTATTGTTTTAGAAAGCCAACTTGAGCTTACTGCATGGAGGGAAATCCAAAATCCGCGTGAGGTAGGTGTGAGTCAGAGGGTTGAGCAACAGGTAGTTTTACTTTCTAAGTTCATTTTACAAAGAGTAAATGTTATGAACCATGACTTGACCTGATAAGAGAGTTCAATAGAAGACTCAAGAAAAGCACAGATAACATTAGGATTCTAACAAAAGACTATTCATCATATGAACGGGTTTAATGTAACATGGAATGCAAAAGATTAGAACCATTAATAAAGTATCTAATTCTTACTTCAACTTAAAAAAATAATTAAAATAAATAAAATCAAAACAGCAGTTATCAGAATAATAGTACCATTATAATCACATTGAATAGAAAAGCTTCCATCAACATATAACATACAGTATGATACATTTTTAAATAATCCACTCAACTTTGTAATCTATTTTTCATAAAAATGTTACTCAGAAGAGAGGCTTCAGATATTCATGAAAAGATGAGAAATCAGGTTAGAAATATACAGTATGCCCAGATTTGCTAATTAACTATTAAAAAGTACCTTATAGTTGCTCTTAGGTATTTTAAACAAATGAGTAATTATTATATTTCACATGTAAGACAGGTGGTACTTTACATTAGAATTATATAAACTTTAGATATACATTTAAATTGTTTTACTTCGAATCTTGTCACATTTTATGTTAATTTTCATTTCTGCTTCTTTAGCTACTGACTAGGTTGGCAATACAGTATTAGGATCAACAAATATTGGACTGCAGTACATTTAGTTAAAATACATAAGTGGTATTTAGATATGTTTCTTTGAAACAAAAATATTAATTTTATGAATGTAATAAAAAACAGCCTTATTTTTTTTTTAATGAGCAGTACAGATAGCAGACATATAACTCCTTACTACCTATATTCTTGACCACCAAGAAATGAAGCCAAACTTTAGAAAAATACAATGCAAGAAAAGATTCAAGTTGAAAATATATTCCTTTGGTTAAAAATCATCCCCTTTATAATATTCATTTGTAATTTAAACTCACAGCATCCCCCACCAGCCCAAAGTAATCTGCTAAATGTCGTCATATTTGTTGTCTTACAATGGTTTTTAATCCAGTATTTATGGAGGTCACTGGGTTGTACCAACAAAATATTTTAACTCTAGGAAGAGTATAGCCTTGTGCATTAGCTCCTTTGACAAATGTCTGTCTTAAGATTTTTTACTTTAGAAACCTCCGACACATGTAGTTTTCTTCAGATACTGTATATCCAAACTTTTTATAGAAACCAACGTTTTGTGGTAGACATTCAAGGGTAATCTTATAACAGTTCAGTTTCTTGCTTAGCAAAGTAAGGGTTGATAATAACCTGAAATTAAAAAAAGGGGGGGGGGGAGGCACAGAGCATTTGTTAATAAAAACGGATTTTAGTAATGTAATATGAATGACTATTATATAAAATAAATTTCAAGTTTATATTAGAAATACCTTTAGATCATGGCCTTTCTCATTATATTCATTTAAATATTCAAATTGTTACATGGATACGAAGTGAAATCACCGAAAGCATTTTATTTTGTTTCAAATATACTTATCTAATAATCTCCAGCCCATTAATAAATAGGAAAAATACTAAACTCACCCTAAGACATCTTTTAAAATAAGTTTTAAGATTAATGTTAACACTAAAGACTGGTCAACCTTTTAAAAAATATGGCCAAAATTATTTTTTTTTTAAATAATTTTATTTACTTATTTCTTTTTCCCCTAAAGCCCCAGTAGATAGTTGTATGTCATAGCTGCACATCCTTCTAGTTGCTGTACGTGGGACGCGGCCTCAGCATGGCCGGAGAAGCGGTGCGTGGGTGCACACCCGGGATCTGAACCCGGGCCGCCAGCAGCGGAGCGCGCGCACTTAACCGCTAAGCCATGGGGCTGGCCCCATATGGCCAAAATTATTTTTTTTAAAGTCTATTCAAACTGCTTACTTAGGAACAGTCAACAGTCCCACATAAAATGAGTAAATAATAGCTTTGTTTTTTTATAATTTTTAAAGTTACTTTAATATTTGTGAAAGTATTTATCAGATTTACTGTGGATTGGTCTAATTAATGTAAAGTGGAAACAAAGCAAAAAAGTATACATTTTTACAAATCCTTAAAGAATCCAACCCCAGTGGAAGAATGTGATTCTAACTGCCTTATTGGGGGAAAAAACTAGCAAAGATATACAAAAATTTACCTGAAGAGTTTTCTCATGTTTGCATAGACTGAAAAATCATACCATTTTGAAGACAGAACATCTTGACTGAAGTTATAAAACTATAAAAGGTATGACTAATTAAATGGACTAGAATACTAGAAATTGGTCTCTTTCAATCACTGATGTATCTCAAATACCTCGAATAGTATCTGGCACGTAGTAGTTGCTTAGCAAATTCCTTAAAACTCAGAAGAGATAACATTAAAAACCAAGTTCTATCTTATAAAATAGGCAATAAACCTATGAAACTTATTTACATTTATTTTAAAAGACTTAGATAAATGTATAGAGGATTATATAGTGAAGGCTATTTCAGTAGATGTTTCTAAAACTTAGGCGACTTAGAACATTTCCATTGTTTTTAAGTATAACAGAGAAACGGGCAAATCACTTAGCCAAAAGTTTGTTTCCTACTAGTATAAGAATACTACTACTACAAGTTAATAACTTAAAAATGTTAGTGTGTAAAACAGTACACTTTATTTCTTCATTAAATTCAGTCTAAGCTATAGAATGAGAATGGGTTCATAAAGACACCTAAAAGAACTTCAAACAGGAAAACATTTTTTAACAAGTATCTTGGCAAGAAACTAAAGGAAAACACAAAGAGTATCTAATTTATCCAAGGTTACCTTGTTTCTGCATACTTACAATTTGCCAAGCTGCTTTCCTCTGCATTCATCACTAACAACAACATCTTCTACTCTTCCTCTCTGAAAATATTTACGATGTTTAAAGGACTAAGCAGATAGTTTTGTTTTTAGCTAAATCAACAAATGATGGTTTAAGAATTCATTGATAAATGTTTTGTAAACTTGAACTTCACAAAAACCAAAATGCAAATTTTTTTCTTATTATTATAGAGGAAATAATATAATGAGTTAGCTTGTGGCCTAGTCTTGTTTTGTCTATATCCTAAACCTCCTCACCCCATCGTTTTAAAGCAAATCTCAGAACCCACAACACCAAAATGTAATCTTCTCATGAACATACTACATCCCTTGCTTAACAGCAACTGATTTCAGACATCCAAATACAATTTATTAATTTCTAGTACAGAAACCCCACATTCAAAATACATTCCAAGTGTTCTTATTCTTATTGGATTACCTAGGTTTTCTCTACTATTTCATGTGAGACATGAGGAGTGAAGGAATTCTACAAGCATTAGAAGTTTCACAATTAAAACAGAATATAGTACTCTGAACCCTTTACCACTTGGAAACTGATGGCAGTTTGGTAATGTACGTATATTCAACATGTTGTTTTATAAAAAATAGCATTTGGTATTCTAAACATTACTGCCAAATTTCATGATGCTGACTTGGTTACAGAACAATTTTTAGCAAACAATTCATATTGTTAATATATTTTCTTCCTCATAACTCTCAGAACACAATGGGAAAATGCCTGTTACTAAAAGTGATTTTTTTGTGTGTGTGAGGAAGATCAGCTCTGAGCTAACATCCATGCCAATCCTCTTTGCTGAGGAAGACCGGCCCTGAGCTAACATCTATTGCCAATCCTCCTCCTTTTTTCTCTTTTTCTTCCCAAAGCCCCAGTAGATGGTTGTATGTCATAGTTGCACATCCTTCTAGTTGCTGTATGTGGGACACCACCTCAGCATGGCCAGAGAAGCGGTGCGTTGGTGCGCGCCCCAGATGCCAGTAGTGAGCGCACGCACACACTTAACTGCTAAGCCATGGGGCCGGCCCCCCTAAAAGTGATTTCTAAGAAGCAAAACTTTTTTCAGGGCAATACAGCACTCATTTTACACTGAAAAGCGGTCAGAAAACAGATTTGTCTAATGGAAACTCAAAGCTGGTTTTGCTAGAAAACATCTGTCCATTTTACTCATAAGCATTAATGTGATCACATACCTTAGCACAGGAATGGGTGAATTTATGTTCTATTATCAGAGTTGCCGTAGCAACGATCTGTCCTAAAGTCACATCTTCCACAACTGTAACATAATAATCCCCAGATTTCTTCATGTGCTCAAAAGATTCTGTGGAAATTTGAAAAGTGTTATGTGGTAGACATCAAACTTTATTAGGTGCCAGAAAAATACTAGGATTAGCTGAGTTCCTTATTGAATATTTAAAGCTATTTCACCATAGTAATTTACATTTTGTTTCTAAAGAAAATGTTATTAAAAATGACCAAGTAGTTGAAATATCAGCAATCAATATCATTTGGAACATAGTCCATACATTTTAAAAATCTGCTAGCAAAGTAAAGTAAGACTAATACAGCTGTTTTAGATGAACAGCACTTATAAATTACAGATGTTGCCACTTCTGGACTAATGAATGAAAACTGTTTAATATCTTCATTACTTAGTTTAATATCTTCATTACTTACTTTAAATCAATTTCTACACTCAGCAGATACTTGAATAGCACAAAACTCTCTGCAAATGTTAATAAGAGAATGTTTGCATGGTTCCATTCTGTAATTTTTAGTCTTTTGGTTTCAAAATATTTTGACAAAGTAGTTTTCAGTTTTCCCCTTGTGATCTCAAATGTTTCATGATTACACGACTTACTTTTTTAGAAACAGAATTAGTGTTTTTGTTTGCTTTGAAAGCACCTTGTGAAGTAGGTGTGAAGTAGGTGAAAAATATGTCTCCATTTCCAAGTAATTTTCCCAAAGTGACATATAGCAAATAGGAGCAAAACTTTCCCCTCAAATTGATTTTTGGTACTGTACTTATATTTGATCTAATATGATATGCATGCTAAGAGGAAATCAGGAATAAAAACTTAACCTAGTAGTCTCACATATTGTTTATTTCCACAGTCTCATTCTAGATAGAGGTCTGGAGTAGGAAGAAGAAATAAATTCAATGAAGGAAAACAATGAGAATCAGAAAACGATGATCTTCATCTCAGAAGGGTCAGATAAGAGTACAGAATAAAATTACCTCTTGAAGGAAAGGAAGAAATAATAGAAAACAGGAAAAGACAGGGTTAGAGCACAGAAAGGAGTCAGGATGGTTCTAGTCCTTTCCTTACCACTAACTACCTGTGATCTTGGATAAGTCATTTGACTTCTCTGGATTTCTATTATCACATATGTATAAAAAAGGGAGTTGAACTAAAACTCTAAGATACCTGCTAACCTTAAAATTCAATATAAACGAACCAAAATATAAACGTAGAACATATTCTCTTACATTTTTGATTTGGTGATGAAATTTCTGTGAATAACCTAACCACATGAAAAGAAATACGTATGTGATAAAAAACAATCTCTAGTGCTGCCACCTAGCTTCTATGCTACAGTAATTATCTAAAAGTAGTCAGGTATTTTGCAAAACATGGTATTGCTACGTTTGGATTCTAGAACAGTTTAGCCACATTAAACATTTAAATAAGAAAATAGCTAATTTGTTATTCAAATAATTTCCAGCTATTTGAACACAATTAGACACTGAACAGAGCTCTAAACAAAATAAAATCGTTTCCCTTTATTTCTTTTCATTCAGGAAAAAGAGGCTGTAGTACTTACTCATAAATTGTTCAGGGTTGACAACTCCAGTCTCTGTTAGCTGACCTAGTACCTTAAAAAAACCTAGTTTTGAAAAACAGATTTTAAGTCATGAGAAGAGCAAATGAAAGATATATGAAGAAGCAATGTGTTAAACTGGTAGGATTATGGGCAATTATTTTTTCAAAACTTTAATGAATTTTTTAAATTATTATTTTAAAAGATTAAACTGAAATTATTAAAGAATAGGTTTTACCAATGTTTTTGCTTACATAAGATTTTTAGAATAGAGCAGACCTTAATGTTCAATATTTATAGAACCAGCATGTACATTTTCCAGTGTAATTTGCACTACATTCAATGCAAGGGCTGCCACATTTTCCCAAATATGTTCTTTGGTGTTACTTAAAAGTGCAAGAAGAGCCAGCCCGGCGGCATAGTGGTTAAGTTCGCGCACTCCACCTTGGCCGCCTGGGGTTCGCAGGTTTGGATCCTGGGTGCAGACCAACGCACCACTTGTAGAGGAAGATGGGCATGGATGTTAGCCCAGGGCCAATCTTCCTCAGCAGAAAGAGGATTGCAACGGATGTTAGCTCAGGGCTAATCTTCCTCATACACACACAAAAAAAGTGCAAGATTCTCTCTATGGCCAAAAAATATGATACTATTTGTAAAATAAAATATAAATAAAAAAATTGTAGTTGAGACTACAATTTTTAAAGATTCCTCATTAATTTCATTGTGAAATTAATGTGAACAGCACATTTTAGAACTTTGAGAATCTTAACTTCTACACACTCAATTAATTGGACCAAAGTTAGTTTCTTCAGTTTTCTCCCCAAAAGAAAACTAAAAAACTGACTTTTGATTACCAAAATTTAAGGAAATCATTTTGGAGAATTTAGATGTTAAAAAAATACATGTAAATGAGTTGCCTTGCAACTCATCCAAGGCAAATTATCTCCATCCTCATTCCCCAACCAGCTTCTAAGAGAAGATTCTTCCTTATGTATCATTATACATGATGATTTCACCTTGACAGAAAGTCTTTTTGGCTTATTAATTAGGAAGGAGCAGTGTAGTACTTAAGTAATTTGAAATATTTCACAATAATATCTGGTTTTAGCCAATTCTGCATTGGAATTGAGTGTCTCAGTTACTTCAAAAATTAAGGACACTGATGCAGCCACTAAGGAAAACAGTATGGAGATTCCTCAAAAAATTAATAGAACTACCACATGATTCAGCTATTCCACTGCTGGGTATTTATCCAAAGAACATGAAAACACCAATGCGTAAAGATAACACACACCCCTATGTTCATCTGTAGTGTTATTCACAAAAGCTAAGACTTGGAAGCAACCTAGGTGCCCATCAAGGGATGAATGGATAAAGAAGATGTGATGTGTATATATATACACAATGGAATACTATTCAGCCATAAGAAACAATGAAATCTTGCCATTTGTGACAACATGGATGGACCTTGAGGGTATTATGCTAAGCAAAATGAGTCAGAGGGAGCAAGTCAAATACCGTATGCTCTCACTCACAAGTAGAAGATAAAAACAACAACAAACAATCACATAGAGACAGAGATTGGATTGGTGGTTAACAGAGGGGAAGGGGGGAGGAAGGAGTGCGAAAGGGGTGATTAGGCACGTGTGTGGTGATGGATTGTAATTAGTATTTGGGAGGTGAACACGATATAGTCTATGCAGAAATAGAATTATAATAACGTACACCTGAAACCTATACAATGTTATAAACCAGTGTTACCGCAATAAAAAAAAAATCCAAAAGTCAAACATGACTTTTAAAATTATCAGCATCATCATCATGTTTGTGGAGAAAATACAATGCTAACTATAATTCTCCCCAGGATTTGTAACCTGAGTGAGTCCATACCTCTATTTAAGTCAGCAGTACAAAGAGGCCTCAACACCAGACCGTCTCCAGGATGTGTTGGGGAAATGGCTGGAGAAAATGTAGCTGTATTCTGGCTCCAGTCCACTTCTTTGAGTAGACTTGGGTCAAACATAGGCGTTTCATCGGGTTTCATCTTTGCACTGATGTCTAAAATAAAATTTTAAATGTTAAGGCATTTTATTTAATAGAAAGAAAATTATTATGATTGGCAAGAAAGTCAATTTCTTGCAATTAGAAAATTAATGCATTTAGAAAAATCTTTAATAGATAAGCAAGATATTTTATTTTAGTCTATCCTGAACCTAACATCAAACGCCACAACTGCAGAGATACAGAAAACTCACGATTACTGTCAGATACTAGACAAGCGACTAAATTTAGAAACTTGAAACTTTAAACCCCCATCTTCTAGCAGGTCTTTTAGAACATTTTTCCTGTGGGTCGATGCTACCAGTGCAGCACTGTGAATAGCTGAGCTTTCACAGGCTGTTCCATTTTTTTACGTTGTTGGATTTTCTTACTGTGCTAAGAAATCATTTGTTGGTCTGACTTGCCACTAAGGAAGTCTTATTGGGCATATAACTTTTTTTTTATATGAACCATGAACAGAAGATAATTGATGTACTGGCTTAAATTACTTAGTTATTCTCTGCGTTCACTATAATATTTGGTCTCAGCTATGTTAGATTCACACTAGGAGTCTCTGTGGGATTTTGTTTTCATAGCAGGTTTTCTAAAAATCTATAATGTAAGTTTCTCAGCTGCATGTGAGCAGCTTAAGATAAGTCAGTATTTTTCATAGTGTTGAAAAATGATCAATTATGGTATTTTCCTCTCTTGAACATTCAGAAATGGGCAAGTTCTTACTACATGTGGTCTAATAAAACTGAAACTAAATAACAGATACAATGATAGGAGGGATGAAAAATTATATAAAGCATAAAAACGGGGGCAGGGGTACTTCTGTGGAGCACAGAGTTGCTGGAAGAAACAGCGTATTCCTAACAATTGTTATTAGGAGACTGGAAAACAACCGCCAACTTTCATTTCTATCCCTATACCCAGTTAAACTATTCTCTTTGATAGCTGCCTCTAGCTCTTCTTTGAAACAAATAATTTACATATAAATACATATGCTATGGATATATAACCATAACATACTACCATAAAACAAAGAAGCAATACAAGAAAAATTAAAGTCCATTTAATGACAGAACAATTTTCCCAATAACCCAACTCCCAGATGTTCCCTATTTCATAATTCACAGGATGCTTAAGGGCAACTACTCTTACCTTTTCCTTAAAGGTCAACTCCTGCCAGTGGAACCCGATGCAACTACTAAATAGGTCATGCTGCAGTATAGCAGAGGCTTTGGGAAAGCAGTCTGGTGTGATAACAGCAGGTAACACTTGTTCAGCACTTAACTATGTACCAGGCATTGTTGAAAGAACTTGACACATTACTAACTCATTCACTTCAACAACCCCACAGGGATGGGATGACTGTGAGGAAATGCAGGCACAGACAACTTGCCCAGGTCACATTAGGGAAGCCAGGATGTAAACCTAGGCATGGAACGAGCATGAGCTCTGGAGTCAGACCTGGTGTTCCACTGTCAACTGTGTGATCTGCCTAAGGTAGGTAAATGCCGAGAATCCGTTTCCTCACTTATAAAATGGAGATGAAATTATTGGAAGGATGAAGTACTGCAGACAAGCACCTACAGTGCCTGGCCCATTGCAAGTGCTCAACAAGATATCCTCTAGTTAGCAATTAATTTAAAATTCATGTCTATAAATTCTGGTTAATTTTTATCATCTTTAAATTAATTTATGAGTCAGGCACTATGCTGGGTACATGGGCTACAAAAAGAATGACAAGTTATCTATTATGTTTATGTTAAACCAAAAGTTAGCATTCTTGGATAGGAAAGAAAGTAAAAAATCATAGTTTATTACGTAGAATACTGAGAGGTTTATTTTGTTCTTCCTCCAAAAGGACTCAGATCATGTTATACTCTAAACACTATACCTGGTTCTAAAAATAGTAAGGAAAGGAAATAAATTGTGATGATTAAAACAATCATTCATATCAAATGTAACAAACTTTCCGTCCATTTGAAACAGATTTTTCATAGGTTGATTTTAGTGCATGCATTTTAGTGTTTGTCCCTGAAAATTGGTCCCCAAAGACTTTTGGGTGTACTCTCATCTGAAAGATAGGTAACAGCATTGTTGTTTTTCAGGTATGTGGATAAATAGGCTAAATATTTATCAATGAAGTAAAATGTGTGCATTAAATGCAGAAGGCAGAAAGTATTAAAAATTTGAGTTCCTCAAGGCAACACATTATTTAAACATTTTGATGTTCATGCTATTTAACATACAGTTGTAACCATGAAATTTAAAGAAAGCTCAAAAGGGAACTTAGATGAACATTAAGACAATTTAAAGTTAACTAGATTCCTTTTTCCTATAAAGTTACCTGAGTTTACAATAAAATGTAGCCTAAACAACACACAAAATAGGGTTAATAATTTCCTAGAGAGGGGAGAGAGGTACACAGAAGAATTAGGATTATGAAGGCTTTAACTAATGAATTTTAAACAGTAAATACTAATATTTTCCTGTGCTTTTCTTTAACCAGATGGTCCTATTCCATTAATGATCATAAAAATAAAGGATAATAGCTAACATTTAGAGTGCCTTATATTTGTTAACTCTTAAAAGTACAATGAAAGATGTATCATTATCCCCATTTTACAGACCAGAAAGCAGGCACAGTAACTGCTTAAGATAACAGAGCCAATAAGGAACAGAGTTAGGATTCAAAACCAGGCAACAGCCCCAGCTTCATGAGTACTGAGCCTGTGCAGTTGCACAGAGACCCACACTTGGTTTAATTCTCCGCTGCCACTGTCTTGAAATTTTTTTGTGTGTGTTTGAGGAACATCAGCCCTGAGCTAACATCCATGCCAATCCTCCTGTTTTTGCTGAGGAAGACTCGCCCTGGGCTCACATCTGTGCCCATCTTCCTCCACTTTACATGGGACGCTGCCACAGCATGGCCTGACAAGTGGTGCGTTGGTGCGTGCCTGGGGTCCAAACCTGGGCTGCCAGCAGCGGAGCGTGCGCACTTAACCGCTGCCACAGGGCTGGCCCCATGTCTTGAAATTCTTAATAATTTTTTTAACAAAGAGCCCTGCATTTTCATGCCCAGGTTACAACAAATTATGTAGCTATTCCTACATGATTCCAGACTGTGTACTCTTAGTACTGAGGATGTGCTAGTGAAGATGAATTCCCTACTTTATTGTACAAGAGTTAAAAATTTAGTCAATGGCAGCACTTGTAACCTATATTTGGAAAACAAGAATTTCAGGCTAGTCAAAATACATTAAACAAAGCATTCTGGATAGAAATAAGAATGCATTCTGGGTAGAAATAAGAATGCATTAACCAGGTAATCAGAGGTTAATATCAAAATGTTTTTATGAGCTATTTTACAAAACAGAGCCATACTTAAGTTTCCTTCCTTTATCTTACTCTGACCCCATAGAGTAAAATTCTGGTGGTGCCCAGTTAATATGCAGGGCAAGTTAAAAGTAAGATGCGATTTGAAATCAAACTTGAAAAGAAAACAACAAAATAGGTAAATTGATGTAGTTTATAAGAGAAATAGTGTTTTAGCACCTTAGGTGTCCCAGGTACTGCAAAACTAGGAAATTTCAGTGAACAGAATTGCAGGTTGAAGTTGAATCTCATCATCATCATTGGGGTCTTATTTTAAAGATTTTAGTAAACCTTAATCCTCCCTAAATACTTCTCAAGAACCTTTCCTTTTTAACTGCTAAATTAGCATACATTTTCGAGGCCCGTATATCCCTAACCTTAGCCCAATAAACGTGTAGTGAATGAATAACGAATGGTATACCACTTCTCTGGAGGCCACATTTCAGAAAATCCAGAAGAAAAGATTCCCAAACTGCCACAAGTGATATCACAAAAACCATATACCAAATTCATTTTTAGTAAGATCACATCATGTTTTCATTCAGTTGACTACTATTTGGACACAATTTCAACGATTTGGTTTCCCAGCCTTTATAGCCCAATAGAATACAAACCGAGGAGCTGCTGCTAGAAGCAAGCAATTGAGAGCAACAAGTAATAGACACAATGAGAATGAAGATTTTTTAAAATGGATATTAAAATTTTAAAAGCATAATGTAATGCCAAATCTAAACTGGCTTATTTCAAGAGCTCTTGGGGCATCACCACAGTACTGCAGTATATGGTGAATGGAGGCAGGGGGCTTTTGCTGTTTGAGACTTTAGGGTTCGTCTACATACATTTTATAAAAATTTCAATCATAATTTGACTAAATTTTGAATCTAAAGAACACTTCATTTGCTGATGATTTTAACAGGCCTGGCCATATTTATTAAATTGTGCAAGTACATTTCACTTGAGAATTTTTTAGTCTTTTCTGATAGTGTGTTTGATCCGTATAATCTCGGCATTATTGCCAGTCTAGCGACTAGGAAGCTGGAGCACGTGGAGCTTTCATGACCTGACCCCGAGATAACAGCAAATAAGTGAACTGAGACTAGAATCCTCCTGTTTTGTTTTCCCATCTTGAGCTCTACAATACTGTCCTCCACTGACGCCAATCTTTACATTATCGTAACAGACAGGCAGCTCTATTCTTAAAAATATCAGCGAATCCTGCCTAAACAGACCTGATCTAAATGATTTCTTGAGACCCAGTCTAGGATTCGTTCATGAGTGGACATCCTAACAAAACTAATCCCATAATCGCCCGTTCAATTCTGCACAGAATTTTCAAGTTGGGTTTCCATGAACATCAGCGCCTGTAACAGAAACCACAGCACTCTTCCTCGGGATAGAAACCCCGGGAAAGACACAAAGGCTGTCCCTCCTCCCCGCGTGAAAGCCCCGATTTGGTCAGTGCAGGCGCCGGTCCTCACGCGGCCCCTGGCCGCCGTGGGTGCGCCCCGGGAAGGAAGCGGGAAAGGGCGCCCAGGCGTTCGTATTGTTCAGAACCGAGGGCGCCGGCGACTGGAGCGACGGGCTCGACTGCCAGCGAGGCGCGGCGTTGGTTTCGGCGCCGGTCCCTGCTCCTCCCTGCTGGCCCTGCGCGGCTGGACCACTGGCCTAGTCCCTAACCCCTGCCCCAGGCGCGCGTCCGCTCAGGTCGCTCCGAACCCCGCCGCCCCTACGTGTCCCCGCCTGGCCAAGAGGAATGTCCGGGCCCCGAACGGCCCCGGCCCAGCCGTCCCGCCCGGGGCAGAGGCACACCTGTTGGATAATCGGAAGGCAGGCCGCGGCACTCAGGGCCCCGCCCGGCCTCGCTCTCGCCCCCTCACCCGCCGAGGCCCCGCGGTGCGCGCTCCTCTCCAGCCCCGTCGGACTCTCAAACACCAGGGACCCAGCACCGGATCTGGATCCGGCTTCAGGGCCAGCTCACCTTCCGCGCCACAGTCGCCGCCGCCAAGACGTGGCAGCGCCAACGCAGCCACCCCGGCCCCGCCTCGCTGACGCAAGGCCCGCGCGGGCGGCCAGAGGCGGAGGTGCCTCCGGGAGGGCGGGGCGGGGCCTGGGGGAGCCGGCCGGGGGCG